TTTTTTTTTTTTTTTTTGTTTTTCTTCTTCGTCTTCTTACCTTCCACAAAGTGTTCAAACGAAGTTCTTCAGATGCTTTCGTGATGAGCACTGTGATCTCATTTTAATAAAAAGAAGAAGTTGAAATAATTTTATTACTTCACAACTGTCATTCCTAAATCTATTCATATTAATTATATTTGTACGTGATTTGAGTACTTTTAAATATTTTGTTTCTTTATCTTCTTTACTCACTGTATAGTACTTGTGAAGCAAAATTTCGTATAAAAAACCAAATTGTCTTCTATCACTGATAAGCATGCATATAGCTTTCATCCTGAATATTATGTTTTTTTAGTTGTGTTGCTAAATCTAAGCTCGAATTACTACAATCATATCAAATTTGGTTCAAATATGGCAATTTATTGGTGTAAGCACGGCACTGTTCAAAATTACTAAGCATCAGCCATGTAAAACATTCTGCTCTAAAAAACCACAAATTTTTTCTTCTTTTTTTTTTCACTTCTTTTCTCTGCAGTTTTTACCGTTATGTAATTTTGTTTCTGTTTCTGCTTTACAAATTGAGCAAAAATTTGGGTTTTTTCTACTCTTTTCTCAAAAATTCTATAACTGTCGAAATATTAGGCATTAACTTATCAAGACAAACAGCTCAAAGTACTTAAGACATTTAAAACCTCAATTTTGCTGAAATAAACACTTTCTGAAATGACTAACAATAATTATTGAAGTTTCAAATATTTATTCTAGATCACCAAATTACTGTTGGTAATATATCAATTTAAAAAGCAGTAAACTTTCAGAGCAGAATTCTTCAAAAAAAAAAAAATAAAATGAAAAATGTTTTCTTTTTATTTGTACAGTAAACTTTAAATGTTTCTAAACAACTGAACTAAGATTAAACTTAACTAATATTTTATCGTTTGCTGGTAAAATAGTATCTACGGTTTATTTTTTGACCAACTGACAGCAGCAACAGTTACCTTACCGTTTAAATTCTGATAGGCTTTCTGTGCGCTCGTAGTGCCAATAACAGCTGCAGCAGTATTATTTTGTATTGTACTTTTATGCAATTTGCCAACAACCAAATTTTCTTCATCTGTCAAACTTTCATCAGTAGATTTGGCCTGAAAACAAAAATTAATTGTTAAACTGACAATTTTCTTTTTTACAACTTTTTTTTGACAGAAAAAAAAAAGAGAAAAAATTAAAATTATGTATGCTATATTAACAAATATTGTTCTTGTAATATCTGTCTCCTTAATAATGACTGAAAAGAAGAAAAAAAGAAGGAAATAAATGTAAAATTTTTTGTTTGATTGTTCAGTGGCAACACATAAAAAAACAGTCTCTGTTACAACATGACAAATCGGAAAGTAACCATTTTCCAGATGGTAAGTTGCTGCTTAGTTTGAACATATTTATTTGCTAATCTAGCTTCATTTCCAGAACTTCCTCTTGTACCTACCAAAATATACGGATCACCTTTTTCTATTCTTCTGCAAAATAACTGTTATTCAGTTTTAAAAAAAAAGAAAAAACAAAGTTTCTACAAACTATTTCTACTTTTTAAAAACAGTCAACAAAACAACAATAAGAGATTTTTTGTTGATAAACAGTTAGGAAACTGAAATACCCGATCCGTTGTATTATGACAATTCTATCAACACTTTCGAACTTGGCTTTTGTCTTACAACAAAGTTTTTGTAGTGTGCTATAAATTGTACAGTCATTTGTTTCACCACCCAGAAAACATTGTAGATCAGGAGCCTGAGCTTGCGAGATTCCTTAAAACAAAGTATTATTATTGTTGAGATAGTTGTTAATAATTTTTGCGTCTGAAACCCGAAACTGTTGTTTATACGTGACAAATACTGTTTATGCTAAAAATCACAGACCAATGTAAATTGAAGCTGACTCGTTCAGTGTACCTCCTACAAAGTCAGCATACCCTATTTGAATGGGATTACTTTGGAGGTGTATGAGCAGTGAACTCAACAGAAGTGCTGTCTAAAAGAGGTAGTAATAAGTATACAAAATTGGCTGTTTTATTAAGGAAAAACAAAATAAGTCTTGTTCTGAAATTTAGCTGTATAAAAAAATTTAAAGCTGCTTGCCTTTGTGAGGTTTTTTCTCAGATCAATGATAGAACCATCAACGACTCCAAACCGTAATGATTCTCTGGCCAGCAAGGAAGCTGTCTTCAAACACCTTTCGTAAGAAGGCCAGACAAATTCCTCAAAATATCTAAACTTACAATATTAACTGTTAAATCTGCAGATTACTCTAACAAATAAGCTACTGACTTCCCTTTCAGCAAAAAAAAGCGACTGTTCGCAGTTAACAGATCAGTATTTAAAATTTATACCCAGGTTTGTCAGGTGGATCGTAATCAGTTCTTTGAGATCGCCGTTCAAAACAAATTTCCCTGTCAAGCATTAAGAATATCATACGGTGCAATAACTGAAGTATTTCTGGTGCATCTGTTAACATGTTCCCTTCTATAATGATAAAATCGTCGTTACGTCTCGCTTTCTTAACGTCATCTACAAGTTTATCCCAGTTGACCTACAAAACTGTACACTTTGGTAATCCAACTGGTTTAGGCTCACGCAGCTGTTTAGCACTCTTAGCCTATATTTCTTCTTTGCTTGTAGATACACCTGGTTAAATACTTCCGTATTTCAACTATAAAAAAAAAAATATTTTTAAAAGAAATGAAAATAAAGCTCTGTAAGTTGCCACGTTTATTAGAAAGTTAAAAGACTAATTCAACAGGCATAAGACAAAAGTAATAGCAAAAAAAAAGGTTAACCGATTTCGGACTGTCGTAATTTAGATAACCGTCAACTGATAAGTCATTACTGTTTTCGTAATAATAATCATCTTGCGATACTATAGACACATGTTGCCGAGCATCTTTTAGCCAAAAAATAGATTATTTGTGTATAGTCTGCTAAAATTCTGTATATTCTTATATTATTCCTACAAATGTCAGATTTTGTAGCTTACTTTTAGAGAGGTTTTCCTTTCTAAGCAAAAACAAGAAACCAAATTTATCTTACCATTTTGGCCATATGTTTGGCTAAGGTAGTTTTGCCTGCATTTGTGCAACCGCTGATTCCAAAAATGATAGCTGTTGACGAGTCAAAACTTGAATTTCTGTCAGCTGCAGCGACTGCAGCAACGTCTCTTAGATTTTTTACAAGTAATTCTTCTGCAAATGTATAAACAGAATTGTAGTGTAACTAAACGCAGGATATTAAAACTAACAACAGTAAATCTTTATTTTTATAACTGTTACCTTCTGTAATACTCATTGCACGAATTATTCACGGCGATACTGCGTTTTAGAAGTTCAGCTACCTGCTAAAGCGGTCTGATATCGTTTAGAGGTTTTTAACACCACTTATCAGCTGCAAAGAGCGACTTAGAGAATAATGCGTAGAAATGATAGATATGAAAATATTTACCAGAGATACCAAAATCAATAGGTATTTTTAATACAATTTACAACTAATAATGTTATATTTTGTCAGATTATAATTATTGTTAATATTGCTGCTGTCGCGAATTAAGTCTGTTTTATGACGAATAGGTTTGAAGATGGATTTTCACATTAGTATCAAACCGGCGACGGCACTGTCTGATTCAGAAAACGTATGCAATGCAAAAAAGCAGAAGAATATTGAATATACTTGGAAGGAGAGAGAGGGGATACCAGAAGAACCTTAAAAAACTAAAAAACAGGATAAGGAAATGAAACAGTTATGGAATAAAGCGGGAAGAAGAAAAATGGAACGCCAAACTTCTGCATAGCGAAACTTCACCAGTTTAACAGAACTTCAGTTTCTCCACTCTCGTTGACACCTTTCCACCAAAACTTTTCCGAATTCCACCGGTTTTCTCAAACTTCGTGTGTAACTACCCTCTATCTAGTAACTACCTTTCAGCTGTTTCACTTTTGTTTAGGCTTGATTTTCAAAATAAATTCAACCCGCCTCTCTCGTCCATCATCAACGCTTCTTTTTTTCACTCTAGCACTTCAAAGATTTGTTCCAGTTTGTACTGGCACTTTGTTTTATTACATCCGTAACGTTTCTTAAAAGTTCTGTCTCCATTTCAAATGAAATTATGAGTGCAAAAAAAATTTTTACTTTTTAAAAATACTATGATATTTCCTTTGCTTTTCAAAACTCTTAGTCTTCAAACAAACGGAGCTTTGCTTTCAAGAACTGCATTTGTAAGTTATTCTTTCGACTTTATTTTCTTTCAGAAGTTACCAGTCTATTTTTAGCTGGTGCAATTTTCCTACTTAAATGTTTAAATTTTTGCTTTTTGTCAGCTCCCTTGGCAATTCTCACGGGCTTGAAAGCCATTTTGACAGTATATTTAAGAACTGTAGCTTCTAAGTTGATTTCCAATGAAGATTTGAGTACATGTTTTCCTTTGGTAAGCATTAGAGAAGAAAGGTTTATCGTTGAAACTTCTTTTGGAAAAAATTCGCGTGTCCAGAATTGAAGTTGAACAGTTGTGTAGGTTAGAAATTTTATGTTTTGGCGCAACTGTGCGAGACCATTTTGCTGGCTCAAAGCGTATGTGATGAGCGAGAAGCAAGAAGCGTTTAGAAGTTGCCAAAATTCTCCAGTAATTCTCAAAACACTTCTAAGTTGTGAAAGAATTGTATGATTGCTGTTCTGCCCACTTGGATTGGAAGCCCGGTTAACAGAAGTAGTTAAACTCGTTCAAAATACTGATTTTTGCTGTACAACTGCAAATATTCTCTAACTTATCTCCCTTGAGTTTCGTTTAGAAAATAGAAAAAAACACCTGACTTATCTTTTATCTCCTAGTTCATCCTTCAAGATGTAACTTCAGACACAGTGACATTAGATCAAAGCATTACTTTTGTTTATAGAGGTAATCTGACAAGTACTGTGGAAAATAGAATCTGCAAGAAAATATTCAGAAAGATTTTTGACGAAAAAGATGGCAAAAAGCATTTGAGAAACAAGGAAGTTCTATAAACACAGATAAGATTCAGAAATCAGAATTTTAGACAAATTTTTCAGTGTTAACAATATCTCCTTTACGATTCTGTTGTTTCCAATAGCTCTGCAGAATCCTCTAGAAAGTAGTACAGCACTGTTTACCATTTTTTTCCAACAAATTTTGCAAACAATTCTTTTAACTTTAAAAAAAAAGAAAGATCACTGTTTGTAACAGAAAGCATTTAGCGTGGCAACAGCTATGCTTCGAGTTTTTAAAAATCTGAGAGAATAATTTTTCAAAAAACAAATTTTTGTAACAGAAAAAAATCCGACCAAATGCCAAAATTTCAAAAGAAATAAGTGAAATAAGGCAGCCAAAAACTAAACAATCATTTTTTAAAATTGAAGTTTAAACAACAGACAGATGCAAATGAAGAATGCTTTTTAAACCACCATAATAAATGCGTTTTGATGCAACGATACTTCGTTGAAATAATGATAGTGACTAGCAGCCGCTACTTATATCACCTTGCTCAGTAGTACCTAGAGAACCTGATTTTACTCTTATAACTTAAAATAAGTTTCAACTTTTGCTAGATAAACTACGTGAAAGGAAATAAATAAATAAGAAATAATCTAGAAATGTAAATAACACAATCAGATGGCTAGACCGAGGCTAGATTATTGAAGAAGCTCAATCAGTCAAAAAAGATAAGTCCTAGGAAAATGAGAAGTGACAAGAAAAAATTTGAGCAAAATGACGAAAAACTGATGCCTACTGTTAAGGCAGAAAGATTCTCTTTACAAAGCTGAGCCTAATTGCTGCAAACGCATAAGTTTTCTATTTATTTCAAGGTTTGAGCATTTAATATTAAATGTTATAACAGACGATGCAGGTTTCCATTATGTACACACTGTAATATTAATACTGGTAATTTATACGTATTTGTTGAAAAATATATCTCAAAAAAGAATGCAAATAAAGCGTGTTAAAGAGAAGAGTTGAAAGAACGCAAATGCAGCTACAGATTTTTGGAAAAACCTGTATTTAAAAATCGTTTTTTTTCCTCTTCTCTTTCAAAATTTTGTAAAGATATTTAAACTGGAGAAAAAAATGGAAGTTTTAATATAGAACTTTTACAGCAATGTTGAAAAAAATGGGTTATACGAAAATGAAGTGCAAACGTGTTGCAAAGTAACTGAAGAAGAAAGGTTTTTAAAAAATGTTGAGAAAATATTTGTTTATTATTATCTGTTACAAAAAGGTGGTTTTGTTACAAATGACTTGATATAAAAGAACTTTGAAGAGTATTAAGAAAACAAAGTTGAATAATGTCGAAATGTGGTCGGGTTCTTGAACTGGAGGTCAAGAAGCAAGACCTGAAATTCCTCACTGGGTGACAATAACGCCGCGCGGCAACGCGGTAACGCAACATAGTTTCTCTATTTCCGTTTGCAAAAGTTCCTTCCTTCTGTAAACACTTGTGTTTTTTAAATTTTCTTTTCAATTACAAAATCTTCCTTCTTTTTGCTTTATTTGACCTATTTTCTATCTCGAATACATCATATTTACATTAAAAATTAAAAAAAAAATTATTTTATTACTTTATTTAATCAATTTTTATATTTTCATTAGATAAAGTATCGATGCGCTTGTGATATATAAAGTAAACCTCTTGTAAAAATAAATAATTTAAAGTTGTAAAACAAAAAAAAAAATAAATAAATAATTTTTACTTTGAGTAATAAATAAAAACTGTTAAGAAAAAAAAATTTTTTTTTTTTTTTCAGAGAATTGATGATAGTAAAACTGACACCTTAAATACGCGGCAGTTCAGTATGGATACTTTGATGTTATTATCAATAGTTTTTTAACAGTTATCATTTTGGTGTTCAAACAATGATTAATGTTTCAAATTAACTAAAAAGAAATGCAATATTTTACAGAAAAAGATTTTAAAAAACAGTTTAAACACTATAAACACTATAAGAAGCAATCAAAGGTGAAAGTTGACAAAATTTGGTACACTGAATAAGCGAGAGGCTTTGCTTACTCAAAAACGGCAGTAAACCAATGGTACTGTTAACAAAAAAAAAAAAAAAAAAAAAAAAAAAAAAA